TAGTACACGAGTAATTTAGTTAGATCGTAATAGTAAAAGGATGTCCAGCGTTTCCACCATACTTTTTTCCCTTTCTCCGTCAGTTAGATGTTCCCTTTTTACCCTAGAACCAACTTAAAAACACCTTCTTTTCAAATATATACAAAAATCCTAAATATAAAATAAAAATAATACTTAATATTGTATGTAACTACTCGTTGTATGTTTGTTATATTTATATTATTAAAAATATAGATTAAACTGTGCTTAGATGAGGCTTTGATTGATATTTTTTTCCCTTTTATTTCCCTCTCAACCTTGGAATTTCTCTGAAAATGCAATTATTTCATCAAATTGGAAATCCCCTAATATTTAGAATTCCTAAATGAGTAAATTATAGCGAAAATATCTACAGTTTCTTATTATTTTATTATTGAGTGGTTTCATATATTTTTCAAAAATTAATTAATGCCGTTTACAAATATCTTCATAACACATAGGAGTCGATTTTATTATTATTTTTTTTATAATTGATACAGAATTCCGTCTTCCTAAATGAGTTGCTTTTGTTTATATATTAAAAATAAGAAAACGTATAAGGGAATATTTCTAAATCCACCGTGGAGGTCATCAATAGCATCGGATCCGCCTGTTAACTGAGCCAAATTTTTCCATCTATGTACGCAGCGCTGGATTTAGGAACGCCCTACTTAATAAAATGAAAAGCGACCATATTGGAATACTCTGCAGTCTGTGAATATTTAACTAAATATTTATTTATTATGGTTATTTTAAAAAGCAGGCAGTTCCACGAGGGGAGAGTGGGAGAACTTCCGGAATGGAGCTCCCCACTTCCTGATATAGAAAATGGATTGTTTTTTTTCTGTTTAATCAATATTTGTATAAATAACAAATAGATTTGTATTAGTATCAAATTGCCGTGCCATATATTCATGATTCGGGATTAAATTCAGAGAGCAGGGTAGGTCAGTGAGTCAAGCACTGGGCTGCTAAGCTTAAGGTTCGAATCCGGCTGATGTCAATTAATTTTTTATCAGCCGTGGATCGAACTCCTGGGGTACACCCAGCCATTAGCGGATCTAGGATTTAATTTTTGGAGGGGAATTTTTTTTATTTATGTAACGATAATTACTTTAAAAGAAAAAGAGAGAAACTAACGAACAACAAAAATAGTTGTATCAATAAAAATCATGGCAATAATAAAATATATATATATATATATATATATATATATATATATATATATATAATTTATTTTCCATATTTCCAATGATTGGAATTTTCAACCAACCTCTCTTCTTAAACAATCCTCTCTTTTTAAAATCATAACCTGATACTTCATCTGCTAAATGTAAATATGTGTAAAGAAGAAATATATTTAAAGAAATATTGCTAAATGAATTATTGTTCCTGTCATAGGCGCAGGCTTCGGGGTGGCGAGGGGAGCGAGAATATAGTTTCTCTCTCCCCTCCCCTCACAATAATTTGAAGTAAAAGAGCATTAAAATCAATAAATAATGAATGAATAAAATGTGCAAACTAAAATCGATTGAGAAAAGTCGACTAGGTGGCTAGTTCTAGAGCCTACTAGTAGTTATGTAACTATTTTATTGATACCTAAATGTTCCTTTTATTTAAATCGTCATTTTTATTCAAAGATAATAATACATATCCTATGATTATATATATACAGGCGTAATAATCCTGCCATTGATCGCCCTAAAACTCCTTCCCTAGGACTAGGATACAATTACCTCTCAATTTTCATATGATATTTTTAACACATTTTCCGCGGCAAACTAGTCCGACTGTGAAAAAAGTTGCATTTTTATTTGAGGTTGTCCACATTAAGAAATCAAAGATATTTTTCACTTTTTTACATTATTAATTTTTAGCTGAAAAAGTTCTATAAATGTACCAATGTTATGAAGACTGTCTCCTCTCCACCATGTCTGAAAAATAAATTACTAAAAATTCTTAAAACTATATTTACATATAAACAAATTAATTTTTAATATTCAGTATTATATTTTTTAGTTTTACAATAATTATATTGAATTTTTACACATAATAAAACCCCGAATTTTTTTTTTTTTTGGTTCATCGCCCCCCTTCAATCAAAATTGAAAGTCTGCTCCTATGGTTCCTGTAATTACAGTTATTATTTATCTTTTTTTTTTTTAACACGTCTTCAAGGACCACTTAAACATCATATCATATAGTTTTATTTTCGTTCATCAAAATTGCCAATAAATAATTCAAAGTAGAGCGGTAAGTAGTTGTCTCTTGCACGCACCAGATTTTTTTCTTTTATTCCGGAGTAATTACCGATACTAAAAGATATATAAAAATAAAGAAATAAAATAAGCGCCTCCAAAATTGTACAATATACTCTCACTTATCCACCCTCGCTCGATAAGCGGCAGAGCCTTTTAATATGGAGGGTATACAATAAAACAACTTAGTCAAGAAAGGTCATGTATATATTAATTCAAGAAGATAATATTTTTTGGCATATTCAATTTAACGATTTACGAAAATTTCTACTAGCGATCTTGTCAGTTACTTTTTCTGTTTTACCGAACTTAATTTCTTCTGAGGAGCATAGTCTCTCCATTTTTTCAAAAAAATAGTATCCAACAGGCTGTAGCCGCTACCGCCGATTTATCCAGAGAGCCGGTTAAGCGGGACTCCACTGCATTCTGAATCTACTAGTGTTTTAATGTACTTGTCTATGAAATACTTCATTTTACTGGGGAAAATTCATATTGGGTTAATAGTGTTTGATATTACATAACGTATTAAATTTAGAAAAATATCATTGCAATTTAAATTATAGTATTAAGGATTATTATTTTTTATAATTTAAATCTTAAAGATTCACATTTTTGAAAGTTTAATGCACGTATTAACTGTTCGAACTTAAAAATTAAAAAGAAAATTCTTTATAATTAATACGGTTGAAGTACATAAACACCGCCAAACTAATACTAGAAATATCCACTGAGACCCGCCTATTTATTGTAATGTCAACGCAGATTTTTTTTTTTTTTTTTTACATATCTTCATTACATATGGAATTTCCTAAAAAAACAACAAAAAATCGTTAAAATCGGACAATTAGGAGGAAAGATATGGTCTCTAGTGTCTATCCTAAGAAAGTAGAACCTAAATTTATACCTTTATTCTCAGTTCTATATTTCAACGCTGCAATCACCACCTCTGGAATCAACTTACTCATTGTCTGCATAGATAACTTTTTCAACTAAAAATATCACTAAAATGACATCACTCAAAAATGTTGAAATTGGAGTTAGTCATTCTGTGGCAAAGTAAAGAAAGTTGTGTGGTTTATAAAAGCAGATAGAGTGAATCGATTTTTATTGCCTGTCGTCGATATATCAAATAGACATTTTGTAATTATAATGGTCTTAATGACTTGTTATCTGTAAGCTTTAAGCTTTAGCTCCGTTTAAAATGCACTTCAAAAAATTTTATAATAGCCCAGCATCGCCAGAAAATAATTTCTTTTCAAAGTAGATCGGTAAGTGAAAGTTGTGTGTTGCGCGCACCAGATTTTTAAGTTTAAAGACCTGATGGATTCTAGCGGATCGTTAAATTCCGGAAAAGTTGTAAAACACGTAAAAAATAAAAAATGTATATGGAAATATTTGCCTACTGAATACTTGAATTTAAAAACTGCAGAGAGCTGGAAATAGTAATTTTTATATAAATCGGAATCCATGACAACAGTTGCATCAAGATTTCCTATCGCAGGGATAAGGTTGGGCTCAAACGCCAACTGAAAAACTACATTTTAGGGCTTTAAATAATCTTAAAAATTGTCTGTTTTATCATTTAGTACATAAAAATTAGAAATTATAAAAGTAGTTTTCGAAAACCGTACGTGTAGAAATGATAGTTAATATTTTATAACACTTCTTTGAAAACAGTATTAGAAGCAATAATACGTTAATTGGAAAATGCTGTATCTTGGTAAATAATGGTCCGATTTCCCTGTTGTTTTTTTCGTTTTGTAGGGAAATTAGTAAATTTTCAAATAATGATGGGTCTAATGAAGAAAAACGTCTAAGTTTTAAGTAATTCGCAAATAATTTTTCTTTTCACTCATTCGTGATTCGTCACTGCTCTATTTAATACCCTTTCGTTTGATAGCTTATACATCAATATACTTCGCTCCTGAGAGCCGGGAAATTCTCTATAACATATGTTTATAACTATATACTTAATCTTATACAGCACACTTTTTTAACTTTGGCACGGAAAAAGTGATAGAAATATCACTTAAAAATGGAGCAATACTATACTCATGAGAGATGAATGAATCATAAAATCTTTGGACATGTATTGGAAATCGTTGGCTATATATTATTATCTTAAAATATTAATATAAATTTAAATAATAGTTCGTTCAATTTAGATTATGATCATTTTCCAATCGAAATGTTCGCCTAACTGAAGCTTTCGGTTTATTTTGGAAAATAAAAAAAAATGTGATAACTTTGACATGGCTCCAATTACTCACACGAAATCTAGGATGAATTTAGAACCCTATAGTTTATAGAACGTGGTACAGACCCCTTGTTATCGAGTTATTGACATCCGCCTGAAACTTCGTAAATAGTTTCATCACATCGTAACCTACAACTATTTTATTTACGAAAACTCTTGGAATTGGGGCGTTTTCAATCTGGAGGGAGGGGGGCAAACTTTGTCTATTTAATTAGGTACTGAAAACTCGTAAATACTCATTTGCTTTCTACTATCATAAGGTAATTTGATCACAAAATCGAGAAAAAAGATGGCCTACAGAAATATTGGGCCGTTTGTCCTATACATCCTCATTATTTTGAAAATTTGGGGTGTAGGTCACGCCAAACGGTTAAAGAACCCTGGTAAGGGAAATCCTCACCGCGGACGAGTTCCTGGAAGGGGTCGAGAAGAGAGTAGCCTCGGGAGTGTTGGCAACAACACTAGCCATGGCGGAGCAGGGCATGGAGGAGGCCAGTGCAGAGTACAGTAGGACACTGGCTGAAAACCAGAAAGCCCTTCAAGACCTGGAGGAACTCCGAAGCCAGGCTGTGGGACGGAAAGCGGCCCCACAGAGCAACTGGATCCTAGAAATTCCAGGTGGCGACAGAGTGGCAGAGGCTGAGTGCCCGGCCAGACCCGCAAAAAAGGTCAGGTTTGGAGACTGTGAAGTCTCCTCCAGACCCAAAAGACAGCGGGAGGAGGAAAGGGGAAAACCGACTCCAGGTCCATCAAGGGAGATCGGAATCCCCGCACCTATGCCACTCAGAAGCACAGGTATAGAGATGTGCCGCGGGAGGAACATGCGACCCGAATCCGAAGAGGAGGAAGAGAGCGAGTTCACCCTGGTACAAGGTAGGAGGAAGAAGAGGAGGGCGAGGAAGAGGAAGAAGCAAAAGACCTCCACTCCAGTAGAGGGCCGGAAAGAGAAAGGCAATGAGAGGCAGCCCAGCCACAGCGACCTGCTCAACGGGCTGGTGGAGATGGTTGAGCGGAAGCTGCTCTCGGAGCAGGACCCCCTGAGAGCATCGAAGGCTAAGGAAACATATGTCACTATCAAGGGTCAGGAAGGGTGGAACCCGAGGGACATATGGAAATTGCTCCCCGAAGACATAAGGGGAGAGGCCCAGATGGACGTCGACGTGGTTAAGGTCACGTATAAGAAGGACGTCCTCGTAAGAACAAAGGGCCCAGAAGAAGCCAAGAGGCTCATAGGGTGGGACAGGCTCCGGGAAAAAGGCCTGACGGCACAGCTGGCCAACAAAAGGAAGCCCCGATTAGAAATAATGCGGGTGCCTTCCGAGTGGTCAGCTGAGATGCTGGAGCAGGTAATTTGGGAGAAGCTGGCGACTAGGGGATTTGAGAGACCGGCGCAAGGTGCCCAGGACTGGATGAGAGCATGTTTCTCCAACTGGGAGAGGAGCGGGCTCAAGAGGACCTGGGTACTCGAGGTTCACCCGAGGACGAGGATGGCAATATTGCTGTTAGACAGTATCAGCGGGGGATGGTGGAACCTCCAAGTGAGGGACTACATCGATCCCCCTCTGTGCCTGAAGTGTCAAGGGTACGGTCATACCAAAGCCCATTGCAAGGACCAGTTGACCTGCAGATGGTGTGGTGAGGAGGGACACATCCACAAGGAGTGCCCAAAGAGAAGCCTGCCCCCGGAATGCAGGAACTGCAAGAGGAGTGGAAAGAAGAGCGAATTGAAGCACTGCGCTGGAAGCAGGGAGTGCCCGGTACACCTGAGTGAGATGAGACTCCTGGCTAAGAGAACTAATTATGACTAAACTGAGGATCGGGCAGATCAACATGGCGCGGAGGAGGGTGGTGGCGGATGAGCTGAGGGCCCAAACCGCGAGATTTGATCTGCTTGCAGTACAGGAGCCTTGTTGTAAAAACAACCAGGTGACCGGGTTCGGGATGGCGGCAAGGGTCGTTGCCCAAAGCAGTGGAGAGAGGAGGCCTAGGGCAGCGATAGTAATCCTCAACCCCTCACTGGATGTCATGGAGATGAAGCAGCATACGACGGCGGACCAAGCGGCATGCTGGATTAGATGGGGAGACGCAGCTTTTGCCCTTCTGTCCGCCTATATGCCGCCGAAAGATGACATTGAGGGAAACATCGAGCACATGGAGGCCGTGGCGCAGCAGTACGGTAACGTGCTGATATGCGCCGACACGAATTCGTGGAGCACGGCCTGGGGCTCAGAAGTCACCGATAGAAGAGGAATGAAGCTCGAGGACAGCATAGCCAGATGCCAGCTGATAGTAGTGAATGAACCTGGCGAGCCCACGTTTGTGGGACCCAGGGGACAAAGCTGGATTGACATAACGCTGGCCTCAGCTCCAATGATGAGACGAGTGGCAAACTGGGGCCTCAGGTCTGATACGAGCTCGGACCATGGGACCATCATGCTCGATGTTGTGAGAAGAAAAGAGGAGAGACGAGCGGAAGGGGAGCGTGGATACGTCACAAGGTCGGCGGACTGGGCTCGGTACCGTGGAGCGCTGGAGGACATCCTGGTGGACAGGGAGTGGGAGGAACCGCCAGAAGATGACGAAGCGCGCGGTATCGAGAACAGGATAAACGTGCTGACAGGCGCCATGAGAGACGCGGCAGAGGCCTCCCTTCGGAGGAGGAAGGTGAGGGAGAGACCAGTGCCGTGGTGGACGCCGACCTTGACGGCGCTGAAACGGGAATATCACCGGGCTAGGCGGAGGTGCCAAGGCTGCAGGAACGAGGAGAGAAGAGAGGTGCTCCGACTGGAAAGCAGGCGCACGCTCAAAGAATACCGCAAGGAGATGCGCCAGCGAAAGAAGTCATCCTGGGACGAATTCGTTGAAAGGGAAACGGAGAAAAATCCTTGGGGGATACCGTACAGGGTCGCACTCGACAAGGTGAAGCCAGCCCAACTCATGGCTGCCATGAGAGTGGGCGGTAGACAGGCTGAAACCTTGGAAGAGGCGGTGGCCATGTACGTTGATCATACGTACCCCAGGGACGATCCGACCCTGGACACGGAGGAGGACCGGATGATCAGAAGGACTACGGAGTATCCTCCCGGAACGGACCTGTGCGAGCCGTGGGACATCTGGGACCTCCGTCTGGCGATAGAGAAGCAGAAGGTAGGAAGGGCTCCGGGACTCGATGAGATCGATGCAGCGATCTTGAGGAACAGTGCGCCTCAAATAGAGGACGAACTTCTGGCCATATGCAACCTGTGCCTGGACAGAGGGCACTTTCCGTATCAATGGAAGGAAGCGGACCTCAGATTGCTGTACAAAGGGGGAGGTAAAGATAAAGAACAACCTAAGGCCTACAGGCCCATATGCCTCCTCCCGGTGATCAGCAAAGTCCTGGAGCACTTGATAATGGAGAGGATGAAACCGGTGCTGCGCGTGGCGGGTCATCCTCGGCAGTTCGGTTCCACGAAAGGGAAGGGCACGGCGGATGCGCTGATGCAGATGAAGCGGGACGTCGAAGACGCGGAGGAGAAGTATGCGTTGTTGATACTCTTCGACATATCTTCTGCCTTCGATAGCGTCTGGTGGCCCGTTGTGATGCAGAGGCTGCAAGAGTACGATGCCCCCAGCAATCTATACTCCCTCGTGGGCAGTTACCTCAAGGATAGGAGAGTGAAGATCCGGGGTAACTCCTTCGAGGTGGAGAGGGGGATCGAGAGAGGGTGCCCGCAGGGCGCGGTACTCGGGCCAGCACTGTGGAAACTAGTTTTTGATCAGTTGCTTGGCGAGTTGGAGGAGAAGGGGTACCGAGCCATTGCATACGTGGATGACCTGGCGGTGCTGGTGACGGCAAACAGCAGGGCCAGAGTGAAGGAGGAAGCCGAAGGACTGGCCATCCTAGTAGAGGAGTGGTGCCAGAAGAGGAAGCTGAGGATGGCGGCTGAGAAGACACAGGCGATGCTGCTGAAGGGGAAAACCGACAGAGCCCACCCAATCAACCTAGACATAGGTGGAGCGAGGGTGCGCGCGTGTGAGGAGGTAACGTACCTAGGGGTGAGGTTCAGAAGATCATTCGACCCCAGCCCACACATCGCGTACCTGAGAGGAAGGGTGACCACCACACTAAATGGCCTGTCGAGGATAGGTAGTGCGTTCTGGGGGGTCAAGTACCCAGCGACCAGAACAATCTACAAAGGAGTAGTATTAGGTATAATTAGGTACGCATCGCCTGCGTGGAGTCGGCGGCTGACAAAAGAGCAGCGTGGAAAGCTGGCAACCACACAGAGACTGGCCCTGCTGAGAGTAACAAAAGCTTACAGGACGGTGTCGCACGAGGCGGTCCAGATACTGGCTGGAGAGATGCCCATTGACCTGATCCTAAAGGAAGACGTAATCAGGTTCGATGTCAAAAGACACGGACTCGGTTCGCTTCCGGAGGGATTACGGCAAAGGGCTGAGGAGGAGCCAGGAAGATGGAAGAGGCTGGTGGAGGAGGACTCACTTCGGGAGTGGAACGAGCGGTGGGTGAGGAGCGAAAAGGGTTCTACCCTCAGGAAGTATTTCCCCACCGTCAGTTCCAGAATGGAGGCGAAGTGGGTGAGACCTGACTACTGGACGTCTCAGATCCTTACGGGGCACGGGGGTTTCAGAGACAAGCTGAACAAGCATGGGAAGAACATCAACCCCTTGTGCCCCACTTGTGGGATTCCGGACACGGCGGAGCATGTAGTCCTGAGCTGCGAAAAGATGGCTGGGCACAGAGCTTGGCTATCAAGGATGACAGGGCTATATGCGATGGAAGAGGCGGACTTACCGAGGCTGATGAGCGAGGACTTCTACCCCTACTTCACCGAGTACATCAGGAGATGGAAGGAGGCGGTGGGCCCGGAGCACTTCACCCTTGGGAGAGGACGCCCGCCGGAAGCCGTAGAGGAAGCGACGGAGGAAGAAGAAGAAGAAAGAGAAGGTGCAGTCCCTTCCTAAGGCGTGCAACCGCACGCTGGGCTGCACCACAGATACCCCATATTGTCCCCAAAAATATAAATATCCAAAAGCATGTATAAATATAAACATATAAATAAAGAGTAAAAAAAAAAAAAAAAAGAGTTTATTGGTGGCAGTGGCATGCGCAAATCCCATGCGCACTACCCTACTGTCACCGAACCCCGTATGCCAGAAATGGCCAGGTAGGGGGATAAAAAAATAAAATAAAAAAAATAAATAAAAATAAAAAAAAAAGTGAGAGGGAGTGGGAGAGGACAGTGAGAGGGAGAGGAGGGTGAGAGGAGAGTGAGTGGGAGAGGATGTTGATATGGAGAGGAGGGTGAGAGGGAGATGAGAGTGAGAGGGAGGAGGAGAGGAGGGTGAGAGGGTGAGAGGGAGGGGGAGAGGAGAGGGAGGGAGAGAGGAGAGTGAGGGGGAGAGGAGAGTGAGAGGGAGGGAGAGAGGAGAGTGAGGGGGAGGGGGAGAGGACAGTGAGAGGGAGAGGACAGTGAGAGGGAGAGGAGGGTGAGAGGAGAGTGAGAGGGAGAGGATGTTGATATGGAGAGGAGGGTGAGAGGGAGAGGAGGGTGAGAGGGAGTGGGAGAGGACAGTGAGAGGGAGAGGAGGGTGAAAGAACAAAAAATAAAAAAATGGCAGTTGTTCTCAGGTGTAAAAATTCAATGTGAAATGCGCAAATATTATATTCAATATTTAAAAATAAATTTATATATTTGTTTGGAAGTTGTATGATTTGTTATGTGCTTATGGATATACTTGTAGGGACAACCACCACTCCCTCAAGATCGATGGCGCATGAACTATCTCCCTCCCCCATCCAAAAATTGTGTTTCGCTTCTCTTCTTAAAAACAGTGCAAGCGAAAGTAGGGTTAGACAAATCTTAGATGATATACAATTACACTTACTGTCCCACCTTTTCCTCCTAGTTCTCTGCTTTGAAACTTTTAACTTCGAAAATGTATAGCTCCGTAAAAATGCGCCTCTCTCAAAAATTCAAAACCCAGTTAAAATGTGCCGTCCCCCCTCAAAAAAATTATTCGAGCAAATTGCGCCATGAATCCTCCTTCTGGGCACCTCTGTATACTTGAAAATATCTGAACAAAACAATTGGATTTATTTCATTAAATATGGAAGGATGGGGAAAAGCTTACATAACAAACGTACATTTCAGTAACTTTTCTAGCTAAAAAATGAATAATGTTAAACAAATGAAAAATATTTTTGATTTCTTAGCTTTCACCATCTTAAAACAAAATAAAATGTTTTCAGAGTCTAACTAGTTATGTAAAAACACTTATGAAAATATATATAGGCCATCGCTTCCCTTGCCCACCCCGTAGTCTACGCCTATGACTTCTATTATTTCCTTAATCGATTTTAGTTTAAATATTTTTTTCATTCGTTTAGTTTATTTGTTATTAATTTTAATTATTTTTTTCACTTGAAATCAGTGCGAAATGATATTTTATTGGAGAGGAATTACCTCCCACGCCCTCCCCGAAGTCTGCGCTTATGAAATATATATATATATATATATATATATATATATATATATATATATATATTTCATAAGCGCAGACTTCGGGGAGGGCGTGGGAGGTAATTCCTCTCCAATAAAATAAGTTTAAATATATATATATATATATATATATATATATATATATAAAATTTTTTAACTAGATAAGACACATTATTACTTTTTTTTTTTTTTTTTTTTTTTTTTTTTTTTTTTTTTTTTTTTTTTTTTTTTTTTTTTTTTTTTTTTTTTTTTTTTTTTTTTTTTTTTTTTTTTTTGGGTCCTTCCCTTCCTCGCCGTTAAGGCTATACGGGATTTTCCCGGGCCAGGGAGTGTGGGCGGGGATTTAAAAGACTCCCCCGGCACCGGGACGCGAACTCGTGACTATTTTTATATCTTTGTATTCATATGTCAGGTTGCCAGGCAACGGCGGTGCAGTGCACACGCTTTAGCCCATTCGGCTACCCCGCCCACACATTATTACTTTATTTTAATAATCATATTTGCTTTAGAATCTTTTATTTTAATATTTTCTGCTAAATAGTCGTTAAATCGGTTAAGATACCCCTTCCCTTCATCCCTCCCACTAAAATCTACACCAGTCCACTCGCTCAGTTCTAGCGGTTACATTGGACAGCGAGCATCGGTGATAGTTAAGCTATTATTTATAATATTTTTTATTCTATTTATTGCTAAACATACTTATTCTTTTTATTTATTAAATCTTATAATATAACGTTGGCTATTGTGTTCCAATAATTTTTTATTAAAAAAAAATTCACTTCGTTTATTTCAAATCCTATTGTTTTAAACATAATTTTTATTAAATATTAATTCATTAAATTCTTTGAGTTTTGTATTTCCAAAACCTTATCAAGTTTTTGGAGGAATTCGAGATAAGTATCGATTCCCTTGTAAAAACCTCCAATAAATCCGATGGTACGAATATTTATTTATTTTTTTAAACGAAACTAAATATTAAAAAATGTGACGTGAAAATAAGTCAATTTCCGAAACCGCCTTTTTTTTCAAGGAATACTTGCATTTCTTAATTATTTAAAAAAATGTAATTTGTCAAAAGTTTTTTCACCCATTTATTCAAATAAAAAAAATTAAAAATATATTAATTTTACGGTACCATTATTTTAAACAAAAAGTTATTTTTTTATATTATAATTCCCTCCCCTTTCCACGAATAAAACACCATTTTCTCTCTCCAAACGGAACCCAAATCAATCTTTTTTTCCCTTAAAAACGGTATTTGAAGTGCAATTCTTTCAAAAAGTGGCCCCATTTCAAGTATACCATTTCTCGGCTTTCCTATTAGCCCACATTCTCTTCATTTTCTCACTCATCTCTCTCTTTCGCTCGTCACTCCATTTTTTTTCTTCTCTCCTCTTCTTTTCCACTTCAAGGAGCTTGATCTATTTTCTGAAATTTTTTCTGAATTATTTTTTTATTGTTATTGAATTATTTTTCTATAATACCAAGTTTTTTTATTTGTTCTGAGGTATTCTCCGATGTATTAGTTCTATAAGTTTGTTGAATATTTATTTGTTCAACCTGTTTTGTTTTAATCTTTTCATGTTCCTGAATTTTTTTTAAGCCCTTTGCTCTTATCTTACCTTTCTTGGTCCGTTGTTACGTTTTAGGAATTTTCTTTCAATTTTTAGTAGTTTCTCAAAACTAGTAATCCACACTGTTTCCGACCCGTATGGTATCACCGGTCTCACCACTGTTTCAGGATATCTGATTTTTACTTTTTTATAAATATTCTTTTTATTATAAGCATCCTTTGTAGATGTTCCATTCTTTACAATTTTACTTCTCAACTTGTGGACGCCTGAGTGTCTTCTCCGTTATAATCACGACTTCTCGTACGTACTTTAACTGCTTGATCGTTTTGATTGTCCCATATTTTGTTTTAATTTTCGCTTTTTTCGAATGATATTCTCAGCCACGCTCTTTCGAAATACGCCTATTATATTAAAATTACTATTATCTTATGTGTATTCTCCATTTTTTCATCTCGACTTATTTATTTAGTTCTGATTTAAGTCTTGTAATATAATTGTTAATACTAACTGATTTACTAATATATATATATATATATATATATATATATATATATATATATATATATATATATTACAAGCTCAGAAAATAACTGCTGTTTTTTATTTGAAAGAAAAATATTTGCATGTAGATATTTCTGAAGAAGGTTTGGTGTTTTGATGGAAGTGCCTTAATTCAATAACCAGTCAGTCGCAAACTGAATTAAGTTCGGACTCACGAGTAATGCTCCTTGCTTTCGATTCCCAAACAATACATAACGGATAACATTATTTTAGAATCATGATTATTTAAATCTAAAATGTCAAATTTTAATATCTTTTTTTTTTTTTTTTATTTCAATGGAATTTACAACTGTATTACATAGAGAATACAATAAGTAAATGAGAAATTTGTAACATGGCATGTACAACATGAAGAGAAATTACCCATTGGTAGAACTCAAATAAATTTTAATATCAATTTAAAATATTTTAAAAAATCAGTATATTAATTAATAGTTACGTTATGTAATGACATTATGTGATTTAATAAACGACAATAACAATAATGATTTTATTTTTATATTTATTTCAAACGTATATTATGGCTTATAAAAGTTTATTTATAAAACTCATGTCGTTTTTCAATAATAAAATTGTATGTTCATTTTGTATGATATTAAGTACTGTACTATTTAATTTAAGTTAAAGGATTTTTAATTACCATAATTACATTTAAATTTTATATAACTGCAAAGAAATTAAATAAAGAAAAAAAAAAAATGTTTTTATAGAATAAAGAAATAAAGATAACAGTTCATAATAATACTCATAATTTTGAAAATTATTTAAATTTAATTCGAAATTCAATTTTTTTTTTTTTTTTATGTTGGCGTATTGGGAAAAGTAATCCCTTCTCGAAATCCGTTACACCAAAGGTATGTATTCAAAATTTGTTGTCTTCAAAAATCAGAAATATAATACTTTTTTAATAGTAAAGTAATGTAAAATGTAGTTTATTCTTTAGAACTGATATTGCTTTAACGCTTGAGGGAAAAAATTGATCTAAATGTAACTTTATTTTGGCAGTAATTCATTTGAAGTTAGGAACAAATTTCAGTTGTAAGCCGCCATTTTCTTTTGTACGTTCTGCTAGCTAGTCCACTGCTCTGCTCAGCTAGAGTTTAAGATTTAATATTAATAGTGTTAGTTGTTTAGTTTTACTAACTATATTTAGGATTATAATGTTAGAGGTAAAAATGCCTTGCTTTAGTATAACTATCGATTAATTAATATTTGATTTTATGCAATATTGAATATTCACTTATTTTTTCCATCAGTGAAAAAATCAGAATTATGATTTAAATATTTATATGATTATTTTGTGAATGTATGCATGTACCTATATTTTATGAATATAGGTACATGTATGTATACATGTACGCACATATATCTATATAAATGAATCAATTTGTACGAAATCCTTACAATTTTTTCATTGATTTAGGTCATTACAACATTTCCTGCAAATTGTTTCATTATCAAACTATCAAAAATTTATGAAATATCTAACATATTTCCATATTATATAATTTTATTATTGTTATTTTCAGTAAACTAATACAGAACAAAACTTGATCTTAGCATTTCATTTGAATTTAACCGAATATATGTCAATTCAAAAAAATCTCAGTAGTATCCGAGGGACTATCTAGAATCGGTTTTTTTGAATCGACATAAATTTGATTAAATTCAAATAAAATGCTAAAAACAAGTTTCGTTTTGTATTATTGTACAATACCAATTTGTTAGATATGTCATAAACTTTTAATAGTTTGATAATGAACCAATAGGCTTGAAACGTTGTAATGATCTGAATAAATGGACAAATTTTTGAAGGCAATTCATTTCCTTGAAAAAACCATATAAAATTACATTAAGTGCCTTTTAAAAACAGTGCTGGAAAAGTAATTGAATATATATGTATGTGTATGTGTGTGTGTGTGTGTGTGTGTGTGTGTGTGTGTGTGTGTGTGTGTGTGTGTGTGTGTGTGTGTATGTATGTATGTACATATGTTTACACATGGTTAAATAAAAAAAAAATTAAAATTATTATTCAGGATGTTTTAGCTTTGAGTTCTAAAATTTAACAATTTACAATCCTAATATAATTTTTATGTATTTAGGTTTTTTTTTCTGAAAAAGAGGAAGCAGATAGCTCAGTGAGGCACTACACTCTAATGCTCCTTGGCCGGGGTTTAAGCCTAGCTGTTGCAAGTAATTATTTATTCTGTTATGTCAGCTGTCAAAAGATTTTGAAGTCCACGGACCTCAGGATAAATGCAGTCTCTATAATGTGAGTACTCTTACATAATGATTAATTAAGGAGAAAAATCTAGTTGTTGAGTATGATATCTGTCGATCACCTCCTTGCACCTTTGACCAAGAAATTATACTTAGAAATTAATGAACCCAAGACTTTCCATAGGTTGCAATGGTATATTTTTTCTTATGTAAGTGTAAATTAATTGTATCAACAAAGTTATAGCCAGTGAAATATTTAGAAATTATTATGTTTTTCATGATTTATTATCTGTTTTGGTGAACGTTTTCTTTTAATTGTGAAATATTTTTATTACTGGCCAATCATAAAATTTCAATAAAGTATAATTTTTTTTTGTTATCTTGAAAATACATTACTCAAAATTTTGTAAATATGGAACTTTAATAAGACAATTTTTGTAAATTATTGGAGATTTTGTTTCATATATTAAATACTTTAGTTTTATACAGTTGTTGGCAGATATAATAATTTTTTTTTAAATTCTTTCTTTTTTTTCTATATAAATTTACTATTTCGAGGAAACTTTAAAACCCTTTATAACTCACAAAAGTTTATTACATTATTTATCTTCTTTTTTGCATCTAATAATCTTTTGGGCCACTTGTTACATTTTCAAATCTTAAAACATTTCTGAGGATCAGCTAAAAATAATTTAAAATTCATGCAAATGTTTAAAAAAAACATTATCGTCTTCTTTATATTTAGTTTTATTGCGCTGCTAAAATAAGTTAACATAGGTATTTGAATAAAATCAAGTACAAGAAGACGATATATTTTTTTTTTCAAATTTGAATGAATTTTAAATTATTTTTAGATGATCCTATGAATAGTTTTTAAGACTTGAAAATGGTCGAAGTTGCCCGAAACGTCATCAGATATAAAATAGAAGGGAAAAGATGCAATAAGGTTCTGTGAATTATAG